TGTGTTCCCTCTCTCGCTGTGTCTCTCTCTGTCAAATAAATACATAAAATCTTAAAAAAAAAAACCTATGGCATGTTATCTATCACATTCTGACATTTACAAAAATAGGCAATACAGTCTATTCCCCCAAGTATCAGGTGGCAAGACATATACATATGAAATTTTTTCATGTACATATATGTACGTTTCTGGAGAGAGAGAGAACCTTCAGGATCAGATTCCACATTCCAGCTCTATTCCAACACAGCTCATGACAAAAATCTATTTTGAGCCTCAGTTTATCCCATCCCTAAAATGGGTGTAATAATAGTGCCTATCTCATAGGATTGGGGGAAAATTAAATGAGATTGTGTACCTGAAGTGCCCAGCCTAGTGCCTGACACACAGTTACATACAACAAACGTTCATAAGCAAATTTACCTCAACAGACCCATGGACATACACGCTGATATTCCAGGTGAAGGGTGTGAGTGCTAACATGCTGTGGGAGGACCGAGAGGGGAGGGAGAGTTTCCCGGAGGTGAATTATACTGTGTAGGGCTTTCATCTCCACCCCTAGACCATTTCTTGCAGGTGAAATTCTAAATCTCCTTTCGGTTCTGGATGAAATGGCTTAATTAACTTTTACTTTCTTCTCTAACTTCACATGGTGCTGTGAAAGTAGTAATGTGGCCAAAATTGTGTACAAGATCTAGGTGCTAAAATAGCAGGACAGGTTAAGATAAAAAATAAGAGCAACGAATAGCTGTTGATTTACTGGGAATATGACAGTGAAGGGGGAGCAAAACCCTCATTTATTCAGCTGTGTTCCCCCGTGGTTGGTTACTCTGAAGATTCAGAGCATCCAGCCTGGCTACCTGAGGTAGAGGGGAAAAAAAAAATCAAGGAGCTGTTTCCTTACATAACGAGTGTGAATCTGAACCCACAAAAGAGGTGTGCTAGAAATATCACCTTTGATTTATTTAAATCAAATTAAAATTCAAGTCCAAATCTATTCCACAGGGCTGATGGGAAGTTAGTCTCAATTATTATAGTACTGACTAGCAGAACCTGAAAGGCTTCTGTGGGCCCTGAATGTGAACATTAGTTCATCAGGACGCCTTCCTTGTCTGGACATTCTTGGTCACTTGGAGGTGGTGGGGTTCTGCAGGGCTCCTGGCCGAGTCCAGAAGCCCAGCACCGGGCCCCACCCACCAATGATCATCAGGACTCATTTTCTTCTGAGGTTTTGCCCCTAGGGTGCTGCCTGGGAGGGAGAAGAGGGTGATTTTCACAGATCTCTAGCTTCTATCTCTGGGGGTGGGGTGGGGAGGAGGGGGATGGAGTGGGGGAGGCAGAGAATGCAGAAACTCTTCTTTCTCTTCTAAAGGTATCTTTCCTATTTTCTCTCATCCTAGATATCTAGTGAAATCTCTTCAGTGAGCTTAAAGCCGCTGACTGCAAAGCATTATTTTCTGCCCTGCAAATGAGAGAGCAGGGTCTGGTAAAGGGTCTGGTTCTCTGCTAGAAATAGGGTTGGGCTGGGTAGAGGGGGATGTAGGGAACGCACAACTAGTTAGTAACTCCGAGGATTATTCCACTGTCCTTGTTTGCAGAGGTTGGATCTCAGGGTCTAGAAAAGGAAGGTCTTCCTTTAAAGACTGGGTACAGTGTGAATCCTGCTTATTCTACTAGAAAATTCTACCATCTGGAGTTTGCCTGGAAGGGCTCCATTTTAGGGTTTTCAGTTCCTAACCATGAGATTACCAGGGATGAGGTATATGAGACCTATTTCTATCCCGGGTTTCTTCATTAGCTGGTGTCCCAAGTGATACTTGTTGGCCACAGACCTCTGTTTAGTGACCATGAGCCCAAACCCCTGAATCTGCCCATGACTGGGGACAGGAGGTGGGCAGAAGAGCCAAGCTCCTTGGGAAGGTCACAGGCCCTGGCTCCACACCCCAGCCTCCCATGTTCTTCAGAATCCTCAGGATTCTGATGGCAGGAGAGAAGCCACAGGTCTGGGGAGAAATAGGAGTCTCTCCACCCTTCTGTAAAGAAAACTCAAAGCGGGCTATGGAGCAGCTTTGCCCCCAGCTGGGCTGGGAAGCAGCTGAGTTGGTCTGTCCCGCAGCGGGCTTCCTCCAGCATGGTCACAGATTCTCTGGAGTCCATCTAGCTCTTGCAATTGGGACTCCTGAAGCAGTGCTCTCCATCCAGATGTCTAATCCCACAGCCAAAGGAACAAACCCACCTCCTAACTCATCCCTTGGGCATTTCCTATTAGGCACAAAGCTCCATTAGCCCACAGTGAATTCTGACCTCCTCTGACCAATGACACACCCATCCCCTTACATTCCAGGGGGAGAAAATTCCATACATATTCATCAAGTTTCTCTCCATGGGATACAACGGAGCTGCTTGTGCGGCCTGGCAGTTGGCTTTTTCATTCGTGATTCCTGAGAGAATTCAAGATCCAGGCTCCTGGGCTAGCCTTGGAGAGCAGCACCCCGGAGTGGGGGGTGGGGTGGGGGCCAGCCCTTCCCATCCCTGGGTTTTTATTACAGAGTCGGTCTCCCCTAGGGGACCTGATTTTTGCTGTGCACATCCTGGCACCAACACGAAAGCAGGTTTCCAAGCATGGAGCAGGATCTCTGGGAAGTCAAGGCCAGAGATGAAAGGGTCAGCCGTGAGCACACATTTGTGAAGCAGGAAGCTGTGACACTCACTCCCCTCCCCCAAATAAAACCAGTTGTCTAGAGCTCTTATGCTGTCAGCTGCTTTGTCCATCATATTACAATGGAAGGCAGTCTGGCAAATTAATTCTGATTCCAGCATTCTTTCCTTCAATCAATCTTTCCACTAATACTTACTGGTTTTAGACCCCAGTATGAATATAAGCACGTTATCTGTCCTTAAGGCACGTGCAGTCTAAAAATACATTAGTTTTTTCTATTGCATGCGATAAAATTGTAAAAAGTTTAGAAGAGTTCCTGAAACTAGTAAGCGCTCAATAAATGTT